GCTGTCGCCAGTCAGTAGTTTCGAGTAACATGAGGTTTTCTGAAAAGTGGTTTTTTAATTAAAGATACGGACGTCCCGTTTCATATTTTCCATCATTTTATGAAAAAATGCTAAATTAACTCACAATTTAATAATAAAATTGTTTAGTTTTAATACAATTCACTACATCAATGCTGAATCTATACTCATTACTAATGTCTTCTGGGCCATAGGTATTTTTACAATTAACAATTAATTAATACAATTAACTATATCGATGTCTTAGTATATGGTGAGATCATACAGATAATAATGCTAAATCTGTATTCATTTCTAATGTCTACTTAACCATAGGCATTTTTAATAATTTTCCTTAAGAGCCTCCCTAATGCCTTGTCATTAATGTTGATCATTATTCAATTTTTTGCTCCATGCAATCGGAGAGACATTTTACAAGATTTGTCGACTGTAGTTTTCTTTTACTAAAAGGACCATTATTTCTTAATCGCCCCTTCAGTTCTAAGTAGAATTTAGTATCGTAGTAATTATCACATTTTAATAACAAAATAATCCTTTTATCTCTCTCTTTGATTTTAAAAGCTGTTTTAAGATACTAGAAAATGGAAAACATTAAAAAAAAAAATTAAAGCAAAATGATATATAGGTATAAGCTGTGTTGTATATAATATTATAAAATATAGGCAGTTATAATTTTTGTTGGTGTTTTGTTTATTGCAAAATATTTCAACATTATAATAGTCTTAAAAATTAAAAAATATTTCATTAAATTGATATTATTCAAAAGTAAAGTCTTTTCATATCATATATTATATTACAATATTAACTAATCTCATGAATTGACATAATTAATATAATATTGAGCCTGTTATTAACTTCTTAAATATGCACTTCACAGTCGTTGACCCCAACTTGAAATGACCTTCATCATTAGTCACCTAAAAGATTTTTATATCTTTAGGCATAAAAGACATAAGTAAGTCAATAAACCAAAAATTAAATAAAAAATGTTATACTAAATGACAGAAAAAAATATTAAATTACTAATTTTATGTAAGAAAAAATATTGTGTTGATTTAATCAATGACACTTCAACCGAAGAGCGCGTTGACTTCGAGTGTATGCAAATGGCAGGTAGAATTTCTAAAGATAGATTAACTAATTAAGCACCTTTAATCGGCTACAAAATCATTGCAAATTAATAGATAGCTTTCGTTCCTGAAACGATATATTTTTATTTTTAATTATTTTTTCTAAAATCACAACAATTTATTACACTTACGCATTTTTATAGCTATCATTAATAGTAACCTTGTTGACTTATATCTTTTTCATCACATAGGCGTTATGTACTGCGAACAGATTTTTTTTTTGTCATATACGATGTGTACGAAAATATGTTTTTGATTTGTTGGCACAATTTTAATTAGATTCATTCGAAGCAGATATTTAATTAATTAACTATTTTGTTTACATAATGAACTTCTATTTCAGCCAATTATGATAATTTTTGTTATTTATTTTAGTTTTATTTATTTAAAGAAGTTTCTAAATTGCTATTAAAGTCAAGGAATGACCTTTAAATAGATAAATATTTATTATAAGTTTGATATTTACAATTAGATTACACCTACATCCAAAAATGTTTTAATTAACTTAGTCTGCATTGTAATTATAACAACAAAGATGTCTTAACTTTTACTAGAAGACTTTTTCTTGCATATTTTTAATGTATTAATATTCAAGAGTTTTTATTTATAAGATATGCAGATTTTAATTTTCACAACTTTTTAATTTTTTTTTAAACTCTAAGAATTTTACTTTTTTATTGCACACTTGTTTTTTTTCACACCTTTCACTCCTGCACTTAAAAACGAATTACCTTAACATAGATATATTTTTGAACTGCGTTAGATTTAAAAGGATATTCTTTCTGTGGAACACTCTACTAATTCTGAAGCAGAAAGAAATTAACTGTGAAAAAATTGAAGAAATTAACAGATTTGTTTATAATTCTGGCTTTAATTAAAAAAAAATGCTTCTAAATAAATTATCATGTAATGCTAAGGCATATTGTTACCGTAATGATCTTTAATCATGAGATCAACACCTGCCGGAACGTCCACACAGACGCAAAAGAAAAAAGTTATTGTAAGCGTTATCTACATGCTCCTCCTAGGAGTTAAAGGATTAAATATATATATATATATGTTATCCACAAGAGTCGTAAGTCTAAGTTTAGCCCTATCTCATTATCTTATTT